AAGAACGGATAACCTGCCAATTCTTAAAACTTTAGTTCTAGAGAAAGTGGTAAAGCCAGAAACACATCTAAGTGATTTGGAACCAGAGGGTGTTCTTCCATTTCATCCTTTTCCTAATTACTGCACTTTATTTGTAGAGAGTAAGAGGATGTAAGATTTTTATTAATGTACACTGTGGGGAAATGAAAAAAAAATGAGACAACTTAACATATCTAAATAATCTTTAGAAAATGAACACATTTTTCCTTGCAAATTTCATACTTCTTTGGGTTGGATGACTTTATAATGCAAAAAATACACTTGTGAGCTTCTACTGGTAATTCTATGCACTTCTAAGGAGAGCTTCACTCACTTCCACTTACCATGTTTTGCAAAGATTCAGTAATATGTTGCTTAAAACCAGTTTCAAAATCTGAGTTAGTGGCCTTTTAATTGTGTCAAATCATTATTAGAGAGGAAGTTTCCCTCTGTTTCCTGGCTTGATTAATTTCCAGCCAAATCCAGAATTGCCTCAATCTTTACTTTTTAAAAATTTTCTACTCTCTTGCTCATTTCCCTACAGTTTACATACTCACCTTTGATTGTGTTAGAGTGCTCCACAAAGGTTGCACTCAGCATGTAGTATTAGAAAGTCTTCTCTGGTTATCAAGGACTCTTGGAACACAGGGACTGTGTATTACACTGTAACAGAACAGCCAGTGCATGCAGTGTGTCTGGTACAAACTGACCTTCAATTTCCCTCATTCAAAGGTCATCTTTATCTAGAAAGTTTGCAAGAAGAGGGATTTTATCTTTCGTTCCTCCCATTTTGGCCACCCAGAGTTCCTCTTCAGTGCCATGTACTCTCCATGACAGTCTCAGCCACAGTTTGACATCACTGGGTATTTCTTGGCACAGAAATGCTTTACCTATAGATTGATAGCACACAGATGGTAGTAGAGGGGAAATCTCTAAGTGTGTGTACCTAGGACACTTCTTTCTTTCTAGCATCTAAGAAATTCAACTGTTCACAGAGGTTTCACAGGGGGGCACCCCAGTTTTTAACTTTTTCTTTGTAGACCATACCTGATGTTTCATTTTTATCTTTTCTTTTATCTTAGAAAGGAGATGTGTAACTCTCTTTGAGTTATTTAATACTTCTGGTGTAATTCATAAGGAACAATTGCCCCCTGTTTGATTAAAACATATTATTGAGAGTTTTAGCAATGTGGAATATATTATATTTAAATTTCAAATGAGTGTGGTCAAGGGATTATGGGGGTCATTTATGTACATAACCTATATATTTATATATACACACATACATATTTACACACACATACAATAAAGGCACATTAATGTTTATTCAAGATACCAGTGAAACTTTAGACATTTGTAAATATATTCTTAGAGAATAAAGGCTTTCTTTCTTGTAAACGCTTTGGACAGTGATTCGATCGAGGGAAAGATTAGATGTTGAGTTTTACCTTCTTTGGACTCATTATTAGTCTCTGAGTGCTTCACTGCCTTCTAGCGGTGGAATGTGGAATTACAGATGTATGGAATGAGTGCAGACGCCCTGACACAGAGCGAGCTTTGGCTTGAGAATCAGAAACCTATACCTTGGTCATAGCAGCACTTCTAATTAGCAAGTTAATCTCTTCTATTGTAAATAAAGTAAATCCATAGATTTACTTTACTGTCATCTAGCTGTGCAGAGGTAGAATGAAAATCTATGGATTTCTCTTTTTATTACAGGTATAGACTTACTTAATAATAGAAAGAGATTAAATATCAAATTTAAATTTCTAATTGTTCTTTGATTATTAGTATTTATTCAGTGAATAAATGGTGATTGATAGATTGGTATGAATTGGTTACTATTTAGGGCTAACTTCTATATACACAGTAATTTTGCTATCATTAATAGTATAACTGTAGCTTTTTCACTAGTAAACTAACAGACTAGTATTTTGTTGATTACATAGCATGATTTAAAGTTCAGAAAGTACAAGTCCTTCTTAATATTAAAATGTAAAACCCAGATTAAATAGATATATTCTGAGTCTAATCAGAAGAATGAGCCTTTTTTGTTGTTGTTGTTGTTGTTGTTGTTGTTTCAAATAACTTCTGCTTCCAATACGGGCTTGTGATTTTGAACACTCACTGATGAATTTCAGTTTAGTTTGAATTCCAAAAGTGAAGGTGGAGGAAAAGTAGCTTGATTTTTGAGTGAAAAGAGGATAAATTTGGATAGCACCAATTTAATGGAGAGAATTATCACTCTTTTAATTAAGTATGGTGTGCTTGGCTTTTTTATTTTTACTTGCAAATTAAGGAAGTAATCTTTAAAGTTCTTACTAGTTCTGACATTCTGGACATTTTATTTGGGTTTTATAGTAGTAAACTTTCTACTGAGGATAGTATATTTTGTACATAATTCTTCTACTAATCATTACTTCCCTCACTGTTCATAATAAATTCATGTATTTTCTCCTTTTAGGCAGGAATAATGTATTTTTAATTGTTTTACTTCTACTGGAAACTTCAGGACAATCAGCTTCTATTGAGAGTGATTCTTCCATTAATATATTTGACAGAGAAAACCCATGGTGTATAACTCTTATTTCCAGAGCTTGGGTTGTCTTAGAAAGTAGCTACTTGGGATTATGTTTGATAACAATTGCTGTGATGATCATGATAAACTAGAACACCTGAGGTCAACTCATCAGTATAAAGCCTTTCTGTAAATGCTTTACAGAAGCATTGGGCAGCAATTAGATTGAGGAAAATATCAGATACAGTTGAGTTTTGTCTTCTTTGGGGTCCTTGTTATTAGTACCCGAGTGCTTCACTGCCATCTAGTTGTGTGGAGGTAGAAGAAAACTGCATCTGATCCCACGGCAGGAAACTGTTTGTGTTTGTGGAGATGAAAGAGAAGAGAAACTATAACTTGATGAAACGTTTATTGCCAATTTTTATGAAGTACAGTTTTCTGGATCCTATATCCAGAAGGCCATGACAATAAATTTAAACATAGTTGTACAGAGTTCTAGTAGTGACACAAAAAGATGCAAATATTGTGAATATTCATGTGGGAAACTACTACATATTCTTTGTTCAGGATGGGATGTGTTATAATGTTTCTAGAGACATTTTGGCTCCTAAACCATGTCATTTAGCTCCTTGGATAGGTTTGTCAATAATTAATTAAAACAAAATCTGGAAAATCCAAATTTTGAAACTCTGAAATTTTTTTAAACCCTAATTTTATTCCCAACCACACAAATCTCACTTTATTATATAGTTCTGAAAGTAGCCCCAAATGATGTTTATTTTTTTCTTCCATTCACTTTTTTCTTTCTTTCTTTCTTTTTTTTTTTTTTTTCTGAGGTGGAGTCTTGCTCAGTCACCCAGGCTGGAGTGCAGTGGTGCGATTTCGGCAACCTCTGCCTCCTGGATTCAAGCAATTCTCCTGCCTCAGTCTCCTGAGTAGCTAGGATTACAGGCACCCACCACTGTACCCGGTTGATTTTTCTATTTTTAGTAGAGACAGGGTTTCACCATGTTGGCCAGGCTGGTCTCGAACTCCTGACCCCGTGATCCACCTTTCTCGGCCTCCCAAAGTGTTGGGATTACAGGCGTGAGCCACTGCGCCTGGCCCCATTCACTGTTCTTTAACCAAGGAGTTCAATGAATGTGGAGCCTTACAAAAACACCTGGCACCAAACAAAAGTAATATAGTACAGAACTATAGTTAAAATGAAAGAACAGACATATACCCCAACTACCAAAACAAGAGATCATGTTAAATACCTTAATTTCATGTATGTGTCTCATTTCTTCTCTGGGTTAGTTCTTATCTTGGGCTAGTTTGTGTTGGCTTCTTATTCAAAGTAATAACTCCTTTGTTCTTGGACATATTCATAAAGTGGGGTGTTGCTATCTACACAGAAGGAACCAGAGCCTGTTCTTTCCTTTCTGTGGTAACCACTGGCCTCAGAGCCTCTTGTCTGTTTATTGCTCACATCCTCACTGTATATTCTGATACCTCCTGACAGACTTGATTCTGATTCTTGCCTTTGTCTCCCCCACTGCATGTGGTCGTACTGCTTGATGAATATCTATACCTATACTCTTCAATTCCTGTAGGCTGTCAAGAAAGTGACTGAAAATGTATCTTTGACTTTTGCTGTCATTTGACTGCTTATAACTGTCATTTGATTGGCCATTGCTATATACTTGTCTTTCATTGGTACTGAATCCAGATTGACCCTGGACATCTCTTGATGGCCCATGACTTGATACCTATCTGGCAAAACCTGTGCTGGATCTTACCTGCCCATGAAAAGTTGTGTCTCCCAAATGTTGCTGGCTAGATCCGTGTAAAACTATTGTATTGAACTCTAACTTCCCATGCCTAGATCCTAATTGCTCATGAGTGTCTTTCTCCCAATCTTCCGAATGCCTTTTATTATCAGTATGGGATTGCTGTTTTCTGATTGAACTAGATTTTGAATGGACATGAACTGATATGGATTGTCCATGGTCAGATCCAAGATGGTCATTTGACTGGCTACAGGTGCATCCCTCCCTTCTGGCTGTGTTATATCCAGGTTGAACATAGGTGTTGTTTGACTGTTTAAGAGTTACTACAGAATGTCCATGACTAGATTCCTGACTTCTTATAATGGGTCCAGACTGATACTGAGAATCAATTGAATGTTCATAACTTATCATTGACTGTTCATGATTTAAACCGTGTCTTCCTGTTCCTTTAGTTGCTTTGGATACTGTCAGGTCAGAACTAGAAAATGTTTGTCAATGTCTAGACAGTTGCTCGTTTGTGGCGCTATCTATTGAGCATGAAAGGTGAGAACTCCAGATGCTTTTTCTGCGGCCATCAGAAGGCCCATACCCAGTGTATCCATAGTCATATTCCGCAGGTCCATAACTGCCATGTTTCCAAACGTGACTTGATCCATGCCTTTGCCTTTCACTACTATGTGACTGAAAATGACTTGTTCTAGTAGATCTGGAACCTGTCTCTGTGGATTGTCCATAACCAGAATGGCCATGTCTAGTGGTATCTCCTGTCTGTCCATGAGTAGTTTCCAGTCTCCCATGAACGACAGATCCTGACTCTCCATGTTGGGATCCGGCTTGGCCATGAGTGTGTCCTGAATGTGTGTGTGAGCCCCCTGAGTGCCCTTCACTGTCACTGTACTCACTGTGGCCAGATCCCCTTCTTCCGATTGTCCTGGAGCTTGTCTGTTTGGACTCTCCATGACCAGACTGGCCATGTCTAGTGGTATCCCCTGTCTGTCCATGTATAGTTCCCTGTCTCCCATGAACGGCAGATCCTGACTCTCCACGTTGGGATCTGGCTTGGCCATGAGTGTGTCCTGAATGTGTGTGGGAGCCCCCTGAGTGCCCTTCACTGTCACTGTACTCACTGTGGCCAGATCCCCTTCTTCCAGTTGTCCTGGACCCTGTCTGTGTGGATTGTCCATGACCAGTAGTGGGCATGTCTAGTGGTAACCTGTCTGTGTGGATTGTCCATGACCATAGTGTCTAGTGGTATCTCCTGTCTGTCCATGTATGGTTCCTTGTCTCCCATGAACGGCAGATCCTGACTCTCCATGTTGGGATCCGGCTTGGCCATGAGTGTGTCCTGAATGTGTGTGTGAGCCCCCTGAGTGCCATTCACTATCACTGTATTCACTGTGGCCAGATCCCCTTCTTCCAGCTGTCCTGGACCCTCTCTGTGTGGATTGTCCATGACCATAGTGGGCATGTCTAGTGGTATCTCCTGTCTGTCCATGAGTAGTTCCCTGTCTGCCATGACCTGAGGATCCTGACTCTCCATGTTGTGATCCAGCTTGGCCGTGAGTGTGTCCTGAATGTGTGTGTGAGATCCCTGAGTGCCCTTCACTGTCACTGTACTCACTGTGGCCAGATACCCTTCTTCCAGTTGTCCTGGACCCTGTCTGTGTGGATTGTCCATGACCAGACTGGCCATGTCTAGTGGTATCTCCTGTCTGTCCAGATGGTTCCCTGTCTCCCATGAACGGCAGATCCTGACTCTCCATGTTGGGATCCGGCTTGGCCATGAGTGTGTCCTGAATGTGTGTGGGAGCCCCCTGAGTGCCCTTCACTGTCACTGTACTCACTGTGGCCAGATCCCCTTCTTCCAATTGTCCTGGAACCTGTCTGTATGGACTCACCATGACCAGACTGGCCATGTCTAGTGGCATCTCCTGTCTGTCCATGTATGGTTCCTTGTCTCCCATGAACGACAGATCCTGACTCTCCATGTTGGGATCCGGCTTGGCCGTGAGTGTGTCCTGAATGTGTGTGTGAGCCCCCTGAGTGCCCTTCACTGTCACTGTACTCACTGTGGCCAGATCCCCTTCTTCCAATTGTCCTAGACCCTCTCTGTGTGGATTGTCCATGACCATAGTGGGCATGTCTAGTGGTATCTCCTGTCTGTCCATGTATGGTTCCTTGTCTCCCATGAATGGCAGATCCTGACTCTCCATGTTGGGATCCGGCTTGGCTGTGTCCTGAATGTGTGTGTGAGATCCCTGAGTGCCCTTCACTGTCACTGTACTCACTGTGGCCAGATCCCCTTCTTCCAGTTGTCCTGGACCCTCTCTGTGTGGACTGTCCATGACCATAGTGAGCATGTCTAGTGGTATCTCCTGTCTCTCCATGAGTAGTTCCGTATCTCTCATGAACTATGGAATCTGACTCTCCATGTTGAGATCCGACTTGGCCGTGAATGTGTCCTGAATATGTGTGTGAGCCCCCTGAATACAATTCACTTTCACTGTACTCACTGTGGCCAGATCCCCTTCCAGTTGTCCTGGACCCTCTCTGCGTGGATTGTCCATTATGATAGTGGGCATATCTAGTGGTATCTCCTGTCTGTCCATGAGTAGTTCCATGTCTCTCATGAACTGTGGATCCTGACTCTCCATGTTGAGATCTGGCTTGACCATGAGTTTGTTCTTGTGAGTGTGGTCTATGTGAGCCTCCAGAGTGCACTTCAGTGTCACTGGACTCACTGTGGCCAGATCCCCTTCTTCCAGTTGTCCTCGACCCTATCTGTGTGGACTGTCCATGACCAGAATAGCCATGTCCAGTGGCATCTCCTGTCTGTCCATAAGTAGTTTCGTGTCTCTCATGAACTGTGGATTGTGATTCTCCAAGTTGAGATCCAGCTTGGCCGTGAGTGTGTTCTTGTGAGTGTGGTCTATGTGAGACCCCTGAGTGCACTTCACTGTCAGTGGCATCACTGTGGCTAAATCTCTGTCTTCCAGTTGTTCTGGAACCTGTTTGTGTAGACTGTCCATGACCAGAGTGGCTATGTCTAGTGGTATCTCCTCTCTGTCCATGAGTAGTTCCTTGTCTTCTGTGAACTGTAGATCCTGACTCTGGGTAATGAGATCCAACTTGTGTGTGAATGTGTTCTGAATGTCTGTGTGAGACCCTTGAGCGCACTTCACTGTCACTGTTCTCACTTTGGCTAGATCTTCGTCTTCTACTTACCCTGGACCCCGTCTGTGTGGATTGTCCTTGACCAGACTGGCTATGTCTAGCGGTATTTATTGTCTGACCATGAGTAGTTTCCTGTCTCCCGTGAACTGTGGATCCTGACGCTACTTGTTGAGATTCACCCTGGCCCAAGCCAGTTGATTGACCTGAGCCTGAACCATATTGGCCAAATCCAGTAGACTGACCTGAGCCAGATATATGTTGTCCAGAACTAGAGAAATTGTCTGAGCCAGACACATGCTGTCCAAAACCTGTGGTTGGACCTGAGCCAGACTCATGTTGGCCACAGCCAGATGATTGACTTGAGCCAGTACCATGTTGGCCATAGCTAGACTGACCTGATCTGTACTCATGCCGTGCAAAGCCAGAGGATTGTCCTGTGCCTGACCCATGTTGTCCAAAGCCAGAGGACTGACCTGAGCCCAATCCATATTGGCCAAAGCCAGAGGATTGACCTGAGCCTGACCTGTGTTGTCCAAATCCAGATGTCTGTCCTGAACTAGACCCATGTTGACCATAGCTAGATGACTGACTTGAGCCAGAACCATGTTGGCCATAGCTAGATTGATGTGATCTAGACTCATGTTGTCCAAAACCAGAGGACTGTCCTGAGCCAGTCCCATGTTGTCCAAAGCCACTGGACTGACCTAAGCCTGATCCATGTTGGCCAAAGCCAGAGTACTGACCTGAGCTTGACCTGTGTTGGCCAAAGCCAGTTGTATGTCCTGAACTAGACCCATGTTGACCATAGCCAGATGACTGACTTGAGCCAGAACCATGTTGGCCATAGCTAGACCGATGTGATCTAGACTCATGCTGTCCAAAACCAGAGAATTGTCCTGAGCCAGTCTCATGTTGTCCAAAGCCACTGGACTGACTTAAGCCTGATCCATGTTGGCCAAAGCCAGAGTATTGACTTGAGCTTGACCCCTGTTGTCCAAAGCCAGATGTCTGTCCTGAACTTGACCCATGTTGACCATAGCCAGATGATTGACCTGAGCCAGAACCATGCGGGCCATAGCTGGACTGATGTGATCTAGACTCATGCTGTCCAAAGCCAGAGGATTGTCCTGAGCCTGACCCATGTTGTCTAAAGCCAGAGGACTGACCTGAGCCTGATCCATGTTGGCTGAAGCTGGAAGACTGACCTGAGCTTAACTCGTGTTGTCCAAATCCAGATGTCTGTCCTGAACTCGACCCATTATGACCACAGCCAGATGATTGACTTGAGCCAAAACCATGTTGGCCACAGCTAGAATGACCTGATCTAGACTCATGTTGCCCAAAACCAGAGGATTGTCCTGAACCAGACCCATGTTGTCCAAAGCCAGAGTACTGACCTGAGCCTGATCCATATTGGCCAAAGCTAGTGGATTGACCTGAGCCCGAACTATGTTGTCCAAAGCCAGATGTCCATTTAGACCCATGTTGGCCATAGCCAGATGACTGACTTGAGCCAGAACCATGTTGTCCATAGCTAGACTGACGTGATCTAGACTCATGTTGCCCAAAACCAGAGAATTGTCCTGAGCCAGACCCATGTTGTCCAAAGCCAGAGGACTGACCTGAGCCTGATCCATGTTGGCCAAAGCTGGAAGATTGACCTGAGCTTAACTCATGTTGTCCAAATCCAGATGTCTGTCCTGAACTCAACCCATGTTGACCACAGCCAGATGATTGACTTGAACCAAAACCATGTTGGCCATAGCTAGACTGACCTGATGTAGACTCGTGTTGTCCAAAACCAGAGGATTGTCCTGAACCAGACCCATGTTGTCCAAAGCCAGAGGACTGACCTGAGCCGGATCCATATTGGCCAAAGCCAGTGGATTGACCTGACCCTGATCCATGTTGTCCAAAGCCAGATGTCTGTCTAGACCCATGTTGGCCATAGCCAGATGACTGACTTGAGCTAGAACTGTGTTGTCCATAGCTAGACTGACCTGATCTAGACTCATGTTGTCCAAAGCCAGAGGATTGTCCTGAGCCAGACCCATGTTGTCCAAAGCCAAAGGACTGACCTGAGCCTGATCCATATTGGCCAAAGCCAGTGGATTGACCTGAGCCCAACCCATGTTGTCCAAAACCAGATGTCTGTCTAGACGCATGTTGGCCATAGCCAGATGATTGACTTGAGCCAGAACCATGTTGTCCATAGCTAGACTGACATGATCTAGACTCATGTTGTCCAAAACCAGAGGATTGTCCTGAGCCAGACTCATGCTGTCCAAAACCAGAGGATTGTCCTGAGCCAGACCCATGCTGTCCAAAGCCAAAGGATTGACCTGAGCCTGATCCATGTTGGCCAAAGCCAGAGGAATGACCTGAGCCAGACCTGTGTTGTCCAAAGCCAGATGTCTTACCTGAGCTAGACCCATGCTCATCATAGCCTGAGGATTGACTTGATCTAGACCCATACTGGCTACAAGTTTGACTTGAGCCAGCTACTTGTTGTTCTAAGCCAGAGGACTGACTCAAGCCTGTTCCATGTTGTTCACAGCTAGTAAACTGACCTGAACCAGACCGATGTTTACCACATTTGGAAAATTCATTTGAACTAGAAGAGTTTGAAAAGCGGCCACAGGAACCATGTTCATGTTGACCATTACTACAAGACTGGCTACCTCCAGACTCATATTGTCCACAAAAAGAGGACTGACTTGAGCCTGTTCTCTGTTGTCCTCCACAGTTCTGTGGTTGACCATTTTCTCGAGCTCCGTATCCCCTCTGACTATAGGACTGACTACAGGAGTTAGACTCAGGTTGACCACATCCAGAGGGCTGACCTCCTGAGACACAGTCATGGCCTTGTCCTCCATTAATTCCTGACTGACAGCGTGACTGAATATAGCTAGAATGATTTACTTGCCCTCCAAATCTATGTGACTGACAAGAATTTGAAGCATTTTGTGGCCTTCCGCACCCACTTGAATTGCTATAACCACATGCATGACTTCGCCTCCGACTATCTCCTGAACATGAACGGCTAGACCCAAGCTTTTGTCCTCTACTTCTTGACTGAGTAGAGTTTGATTCATGCCCACTAATCTCCAATCCACATGACAGACCACCATGACCTTTCCTTTCCCAACTCTTTGATCCAGATCCAGATTCGTATTCTTCCCCAAATTCCCTAGAAGGGCTAACATGTGACTTGTTTATTCTTTCCCTCAGTTCTCCAGAGCTGAAACCATGTCTCTCTTTGCCACTACTCCATGAGTGACCAGAGCTGGACCTGTGGTACCTTTTCTGAGATCCCTCTTGGTTTCCAGAGCTGGATAAATTACCTTGTCTTCCTAGCCTCCTGGAGTTGGACCCATGTCTACGTTTCACAGTTCCCCTTGAGTGCCCAGAACTATATCCATGCTCCTCTCCCTCACTCCAACTTGAATGTCTGTAACCTGATTTATGTTCTGGGGTATCCTCTTCATCCTCTTCTGTTTCACTTTCTTCCTCTTGGTGTCGGTGACCACGCCTATGCTTCTTTGACCCTGAAGCTTTGCAGTATTCTTTGCTGAGGACCTTGTTGCAGGCCATAGTCAGCTTGAATATCATCAAAAGAAACTCAGTAAAGTCCAATCTTCTGTCATGATCTCGATCCAGCATGTGCATGATGACATCCACTGTGTCTGGATCATCTGGGTTCTGTATATGAGTGACATACCAAGGGAGACCTGGTTAGCCTCACCTGCATACTCAGCCAACACATTCAAATAGTGCTGTGAAATTGTGGATGTTTGACATGATGTAGTTTTAGTCCAATGGAGGATTACTTTAGGTTAATAGAACCTAGTAAATGTTAAGGGTTAATAGAAAATAAAGACTACTGGGATCCTCAGAAGAAGACATTTCAAGGATTTAAGCTAAAGGATTAAGTGCTTAGGTAAGGCCTACAGGAAGGAGTGGAATAAACTAAGTTCAGTAACTGATATTTCTAAGTTTTACATAAATTGTAACTATTACATGATTACATGTTAATATATTCCATGTTAGAATTTATCATATATTATTTTGAAGCTAGTAACTGAGTCCTTTTTTTTTTTTGAGACAGAGTCTCACTCTGTAACCGAGGCTAGGGGGCAGTGGCACGATCTCTGCTCACTGCAAGCTCCGCCTCCCGGGTTCATGCCATTCTCCTGCCTCAGCCTCCCGAGTAGCTGGGACTCCAGGGGCCTGCCACCACGCCTGGCTAATTTTTTGTATTGTTAGTAGAGACAGGGTTTAGTAGAGACAGGGTTTTAGGGTTTCACTGTATTAGCCAAGATGGTCTTGATCTCCTGACCTCGTGATCCCCCCGCCTCAGTCTCCCAAAGTGCTGGGATTACAGGCGTGAGCCACCATGCCTGGCTAACTGAGTCCTTTTTAAGTAGATGGAATAAAATGCTGATATTTTATTTTTGATTCTTAATCATAGTTATTTTGTCAGCTTGCCATGTAGATGATTTCCCTTTCTATACTTTTTTTTCCCATTTGATAAGATAATTTATTCATTCGTGTCCTAGCACAAATTTATTTTCTGCTTTTTCTAAGGAAAATCCTGGGTATATAAGAAAGTCTGAGAGTCTATAAGGTAGGAGTGCATAGGTGGAAAAGTGAGGATGAAACATTCACTTTCTTTAAAATATATGCTGCTTTAACAGACTTTCTGGCATCCCCAAAATACTGCTCATAGAGGTTGCTTAGAGTCTACTGGGGCTGTGCACATTTTAGCTGATCTGGATCATATAACAGAGCATGTACAGGACTCCAGGAGCCTTCAGTTCTGGCACATGTTTCTCACCTTCAGAACTGGATGAAACTCTTTCTCCAGAAGTTCCTTTAGTTCATCCTTGCTCAGTGTGCCACACTCCCCATCTTGCTTGGTGTATTTGTAGAAAACATCAATTACAGTGACAACACTTCTCAAGAGGTCGGTCATCTTTTTGCAAGTTTAAGTGAACCTGGACACAGAGAAACAAAGAACCCTATTATTCATATTTTCCCCTTTTAACTTATCAGCAATTTTCATTTTAATAATAACCATCATGATTTTTTTAACTTCTTGTTTCTTTTTTTTTAAAATTATACTTTAAGTTCCAAGGTACATGTGTGCAACGTGCAGGTTTGTTACATATGTATACATGTGCCATGTCTCTTGTTTCTTTTAAATCTCAAAAAGTAAGAATGGGCCAGGGATGATACAACACTGTTGAACACAATGAAAATTAACTTTGTTAACTTTGAGTTATTTTTCTATGATCAACTCTTGGCATGTTACTGTTTCAACTGAGTATAGACCTCAGGTCTCTATATTTCTTGTCATGGGTAAGTATAGTCTCTACATAGTATCTACACTTTGAGTGTGTTGTTCTAAGGCTTCCAAAGTTTCCAGAACCAGCCAGACACCATGGCCTCAATCTGTCTTTCTAGTTTCACTGCTTTTCTTGAGTCAAAAGTGACAGACCTTCCACCATGCACATCTGTTTATCCTATGGGCACCAGAAGCTAAACTGGACCCTTAAGGCCTTCAGCAAATTAAAAATGGGTGAAGGGGCTCAAAGTAGCTTGGTGTTTTAGAGGCATGAGATAGCCCTCAGTAGAGCTTAGGAACTCTCTTAATGTCAAGCACTTGACCAAACACCCTTCTCTTTAAATAATCAAGAAGAAGAGCTCAGCAATGCAAGCAGCAGTTTAACTAGTGGATAAGTAGATCTTGGAGCTCTGGGAACCAACACTGAACAAGGAAGGGACTCTGCAACAGTCCCAGCTGCCTCCCAGTTTGAGCTGGACAACCCAGAAAAGAGAGCATGGAAAAAGACTGGAACAGAGTGTGGAATGGCCTAGAGGAAGGCGAACTTCTACTTGCATTATTCTTGTCCATAAAAATGAACTTATTCCAAAAAGACCCCAGAATAAACTAAACTAACCAAACAAATAAGCAAACAAAAAGAAAAGAAAATGAAAGAAAGAAACAAAAAAGAAAAGAAAGGCAAAATATACATGAACTCTGCCTTAGTTTTTATCCCTAGACTTCTACTATGGACAGCACCAAATATTCATAAATGTAGCTGGATGAATTATCTCTCACCTGGTTCACCAAAGGAACAAGTAGGATAAAGCCTGATGCAGCTTGCAGGGTGACGATGGATTGGGATAATGACCCTTATATAGCTTGTAGTGATTATAGTGAATGAGGTGACTCATTAAACCTAACTCCACCTCTACATATTTACCTTCCTCCTTCACATTCTCATCTACAGATGATTGCAGAAAGGCTAGTACCAGCCCCACCTTCCAGTATGAGGACATGGTTGCAAGATGCCTTTTGTTCAGGGTCATATATATGTGAAAGGCACAGACTTTGTTTTAGAGGACTCATGTTATACATTTCTTTTATCTAGTACCCACAGAAAGTAGCAGAGTGTAAGATGTTTGCAAGGTGCACAATAAATGCTTATTTAATTGAAAATTAACCTGAGTCACTAGGTTCACCTAATTCACATCTCTTTTGTGATAACGAAAAGTGACATTTATTGAGAATGTACTATGTGCTAGATAGTGTGCTGAATACTTTAAACATACCATCTCAATCTTTACAATATCTATACTTTTAATTACAGGTGCATAGTTGTGTATAATTGTTGGGTACATGTGATGTTTTGATATGGGCATACCATGTGTAATGATCAAATCAGAGTAGAGTAATTGGGGTCTCCAGCATCTCAAGCATTTGTCATTTCTTTGCATTAGGAACATTCTAATTCTACTATTTTAGTTATTTTAAAATATACAATAAATAGTTAACTATAGTTACCCTATTATGTTACCAAACACTAGATCTTATCACCTCATTTAATCTTCACAACCTTCATACAAGATATGTATTTATTATCCCATTTTACAGAGACAGGTTGTGGAAGCATAAGGTTCTTCTCCAAGGTCATAGCTAGTAGGCAGAGAAACTAGAATTTGAACCTGAATCTACCTTATTGCAATGCCATTGCTCTTTACCATCATACTAGCTTACTTCTGTGTATTTATCACATAAAACTATCATGCAAAAATCATGCACCATTTTGGGAGTGTAAGGCCCACTCAAACACAAATAACATAAAAAAGTAACATACAGAGTGCTGTTAGGAAGAGGGGAAACATTCTCTGACCTTGTGAAGGCTCATTTCTAGGCTAGAAATGTGCAATTGGCTATATATAAAAATAATGTTTTCAGATGTGTTCAGGGTGAATTTAGAGTGGGCTTTCTTCCAGCACTCTGCTACCCACTAGTAGTCTGGCATCTATAGGGCCTGGACCCTTGGGAAAATGTTCACTTATATACGGAAAGTATATCAAATATACTTGAGGGCAACAAAAATAATCAGAGAGTTGCAAGTCTTAAGTATGGAGAGCCAATTCTTCTGTACTTTGCTACCAGGTGATAATGGTGATGATGATGAGGAGGATAGCAGCTACCATGAAGTGCTACGTGCTTAGTATCTTCTATACATGGTAGGTTTACATACTTATCTATTTATTCCTCAAAATAACCCCATTTTATAGATAAGGAAATGAAAGCCTAGAGTAATGTAAACATTTGTTACAAATCACAGCTAGTCAGTAGCAGCACTAGAACAGATACCCATGCTATTTGATGCTAAAGCCTAGCACTTAAGCATATATATTCTACATATATGGAGTCAATAAACTCCTATCTGGGCATTCCTTTGGGGCAGTCATCATACCTTATTCATTCTACCATCTAGGGAGCACCTAGAGCTTGGTAAACACTAAGAATGAGTGTCTGTTCACAAAATGTTAATGAATATGCCCTTGAAATATGTCAATTGCTCACATAGCCGAGGAATCCTAGACCAAAACAACCACACAGAAAGCTATGTTTGCTGTTGGATATTATGGTCACTTTCAATCATATGCATCTTTTGGAAGTGCATTTTTGTTAAGATGACTGCTGTGTCAGAAAGACTTTCAGGCCCCAGATTCCACACTGAGACAGAATTTTAAAGCCATTTTTGCACTGTCATTCCAGCATTATAGTTGAGAACTCTGAAACTCCTCCATAGTTCAGAACTCCATTATTCACTCTTTTGTATTCTTTGCATTTAGGTCTCTCTTCCTCTTCTCACTTGCTTAGCATAATGGATAAAATTATAGTCGGAAAGACCTAAGTTCTAATCTCAGTTTTGCCTCTTACTGTGTTTCTTGTACAATTATCTAATCTTTTCAGCTTCAGTCTCCTAAATTATAGAATGGGAACAATAGCACTTACCTAACAGGCAGCAATTACTTAACATGAAATTGCTTAGTACCTGCCTGGCATATAATACATTCTTAGTACACTATATAATTACTGCAAACTTATTTTGCTAAATATTTCATATAATCTATCACAGCATTTTACACAAAGAAAGTACTTGATAATGTTTGATAAAAATGAGTTAGAAGCCACTAGTAGTCTTTTAAAGGTAGAAATACTACGTCTCTGTCAAAAGTGTTGCCTAGAAGGTAAGTCATGGTTTTGGACACGTACCCTAGAATATAAAGTATAATGAAAAGAAAAACAAACTAAACCACATTTTTTGGGATATAATTCACATCTCATAAATGTCAACCTTTTAATCTGTTTTTTGTTTGCCCCCAGAATACTGTGCTGGCAGTGAGCTGTACTTTTTTTCCCTAATTGGAAAATGGGTTAAAGTATACAGTTCATTGTGTGTGTGTGTGTGTGTGTGTTTATACAGAGTATGTGCAATTGAGTTATTGTTCTTACGATGTCTATGTCCTTAAGTGAGTTTCCTCACTTCTCAATGCCTTAGTTTTCCCTCTGTAATAATCATAGGTATTATTAGTGTCAGGTTCCAACTGGACAGATGGCAGGTCATTTCAGCAGCAATTTTGGAGAATGATTATTTTTCCCATTTCACAGAAGCCTATGCACTCTTTGGAAATAAATCCAAGTACTGGTTTTAAGTACTGAATTGATACCTGCAGAAACTTTTGCCCTCCTGGGTTCTGAAAGATTATTTAGTTCAACAAAGCGGAGGTCTGAAGTCCAGAGGAAGGGCACAGTCAGTTACACCATTTCTCTGTATCTGGGCCTTCTTCCTGCCTTATTCTACTCATCTCATCACCTTCTGCTCATTCCATGTCTACATTGCTCAGGCTCTAGACACTACCAGACTCTTTGATTTTAGGCCCATTTGGTGAAGCTTATGCACTGTTGGCCACTGGATTCTTGAAGAGGAAGCTATACCTTAGAATGTTAAAAGTAACTTTAATTGGACCTGTGAAAGTTCCAGTTTTTGGCTTTTCTACTGCATGCCAGATGAATTTTGTTTCTACATCTCATCTTTTTTTAAATTTTATTTTTTAAAAATATTTATTTATTTATTTTGAGACAGCATTTCACTTTGTTACCCAGGCTGGAGTGCAGTGGTGTGATCATGACTCAACACAGCCTCGATTTCCCAGGCTCAAGTGATCCTTCTGCCTCAGCCTCCCAAGTAGCTAGGACGATAGATACGTGCCACCATGCGTGCTAATTTCTTTTTTTTCATCGTATTTAAGGTGGTGGAGGTTCTCCAAGTTCAAATAATCTGTTTTACTTCCTGTCATGTTCAAATTAAGAACTTGCCCTAGGGCCCAAGTGGGTCTTTGTCTATCATAAGAACCAAACATTTTCTCTATGTTGTAACTATTTGGAACTCCTGTTTGGGGGGTTTTCAGTGAACTCAACTTAAAGCTGATACCTCAGAATTGATTCAGGGACACTGATGTGCAGTAAATGTCTGTTTTCTGTAAGAACAGTTTAGGGAGATGTCCTTGGCTTGCAGTATGATATGGTAGAAAAAACATTGACTTTGCAGTAAGACAGATAGATCAATGTGTATTACAGCTGCAACACATACTGCCTGTAATATCTTGGGAACATTTCTAAGTCTGTCTCTGTTTTCACACCTGTGAAATAGGGACAATTACAGACACTTTAGAATTCGATAACATGAGGATAATGCTTAGCACATAATAAGACTTCAATATATTTTCCTTTCTTTTCTTCATACTGTCAAGTTTAATCTGACTTAGAAAATTATCAATAAGTTTTGGGCCTGATAGTTCATAAAGATGATTCTTAACTCCGTTCCCTCCTTGTGGTCTCTCTTCTTAGGTGAAATTGAAGGCCAGCTTTTGGAACTCAGCCTTCCAAGGAACTTAAAATTTCTGTTATGAAGAGTCCCTGAGGAAACTGGATCCACTAGCTACACTAGCTGAGAATGCCCACACTCCAGAATTTCATTTTTATTTTGCCACCTCATTGTTGGTATCCTAAGATCAATGTACTGGAGCAGCGGGGTCTCACAAAGAGGATACCTGGTAACACACCCAGGCTTTCAGAATGCACCATAGGGCTTTAGTGACTTGTCCAGTTTCAGCTGAAATGTGTCTTCTGGGACCCACTAATGCTTGTTGAACTTTACTGGATCTCAGAAGCTGGGTATCAGAAGCTCAGATGTTCCTTGGAGCTACAATATCAACAACCTGTGATGACAGAGAGAAGGTTGCTCCATGATGGATTTGGAAACTTACTGGCTAGCTAAACCTGACTGAATGGGAAGGAATATGGATAGCTTTGGAACTCTAGTTTCACTAGATGAGCTGGAATTTGTATTTTGACAAATTGCAAGTTATGGCTATTAAGTAATGCAACTGATTTTTTTTCCCTTAAAACAAACAATCTAGAATCTGTGTAATCAAAATAATTTCTCTAAAAAGGCTGCAAGTATACACTTAAAATGTTGGGGCATTCAGAGCATTTGGAACATTACATTTTTTTGAATATTAATTGGTAGATGAAAATACCAACTTTTAAGTCATATGTTTGAATTTTTGAAACATTAATATGCATTTAGAGTTTGTAAGTCAAGTGAGTAAGGTAAAAACTGATAAGGTAAAAAAAAAAAAGAGGGAATTCCTTGCTGAGTGTGAATTTAAAGTAACTAGACTTCCTTTTGTCCAGTGGCTCTCAATGATTTACTTCAGCAGGCATTTTTTTTTGAGGATATTCTATGATATCATGACCCTTCTTGTAGGAGCGTGCTTTCAGTGGTGAGGCAGTCTG